ACAGGAACTAGATGGAGAAAGGCAGGCTTAGGAAGTTGATCACATGTTAATCAAGGACACCTGAACAACCTGCTGGGCTCAGATATTTTAAAGTGTCCTGTGCAACAACCTAAGCCTGAATATTTGAATAAGATAATAATTTTAGGCCTGTTAATCAAGGAAAGAGCCTTCAAAATAAGCTAATCTCTACAAAGGCTTGGGTACAATATTTTTTGAGATGCCACATATTTAGGAAAGGTAAGTCATAGTCCCAAATTCCCCTTGCTGTATAGAGTGGACAGATTTTAAAAGTTTCAAATATTTCGGCATCTTTTGGCACTTGCTTCAAATGTTCAGGGCTTACATCAAAGTAAGTCAGAGCTCTGCTGTCTTGGGCAGCAGACTGAGATACCCTCATGGATGAGACAGGACAGACACGAGGAAAGAAATAATTGACTGTCACAAGACAGGGGTTAGCAGAATGAGACATACCCATAAAATGTAGGGGAAGAAAGAAAACACCAACATGAGAAAACTCATGATGAGTTGAAAAAGATTTGGAGTTTTAAATGGTGGTATTGGTGAACAAGAAGCCAAATAAAGCTACCTCCTTAAAGTTCAGGTATGGCAGCTACAGAGCAGCATATTTGTTTTGGGTGACTAAGCTGAGCTCCTTGATCTGGTGAGAGAAGGGAGTCCTCCCTGGGAGATGGGTTGTTGCTTTCCTGCCACTGCAGAGCAACTGACAGGTCAATACTTGCTGTAGGTAAATACTCTAATGTTCCTGCTTGACTTTTGAACTATGGCATTTTGAAAAGATTTGGGAAGAAGTATCAACACAGAAGAAAACTGTTGAAAAAAAAACAAATGAGGAAGAGCAGAGCAGGGCATGCTCGTCTGCAAGTGATCTGACATCAGGTCCCTCACACATCTTCTCCATGCTGTCCTTCTCTAAAACAAGCGTGGGCCTGTAATAAAAACCAGGAAAGCTTGTGAAGATTACTACACTAGAGCTTGTAAAGCAATCAGATACTATGTGCATCAATCAGTTTTTCCATCTCATTATGATATCTCAGTGCTAAAGAGTTCCTTTTCTAGCATTCTCCCAGCTGCTCTGAGATAAATTGGTTTATAAACTGTTGTGCTTTGCATTCAGCTTTATTTAGACTGGTTAAGCAACTGAAGCTGCTGTTAATAACAGAAATCCTATCCTGCAATTGCAGCACGGATATTCCCAATTTGCCAGAAGATTCTTACCTGCCATGTTTACTCTCACTTTTGCAAAGCACCCAAGAGCTCTACATAAACATCTGGATTAGCTTCTCAGATTGATAAACAGATTCTAAAACAATTTTTTTTCCCCCACAACAAATCACATTACCAGTTATTTTCTCACACAAAAAATTACATCAATAACCTCCTCCCCAAATTAACATCCCATGATTTCTTAAAAAGGCATAAATAAAATTAATCTACACGGGACACTATATTATTAAAACATACGCTGAAATCAACAACGCTCAAGGCCCTATCATGGCATTTTGTTCTTCATTGGTATTTACATTACTATAGTTCTTATGTATTGCCCTGGAAATCAGCTTTGAAGTGGAATGATGAATAAATGAAGATTTATTATTACTATCCTTATTAGAGGGATTTTAAAGTCATTAGAGACCAACAAGGCATAATAATCATATTATATTCAATCTTCTCTAGAACATCTCCTTTGATAGGCCTGCTAACTCAATTATTTAAATATATATTACAGCAAAATGCAGCATGCCTTCTACAGTTTGGGATAAGATGGAAATTTTTATGTTTTGTTTTCAGTTAACCAGAATTTGTTCTTACAGAATTTGTGGGTTTCATGGTAGGTTTCTTGGTTTTAAACACTAGAGTTCCAAATTTACAGTTAACACCTGGCTCAATGTGTCTGCTCAGTTGAAAAAAAGGTTAAAAACTGGGGAGGAAATAAGGCACTGGAGCACAGTCTGAACCTTCAGTGACTTTTAAAAGTAAAAAAAATATCCTCACAGAAGCAATGATCTCTCAAATAGTCAATAGACTTAGCTTCAACCAACCACCACCAGGCAAGAAGGAAGAAGCATCTAGAGGCTCTGAGGAAGAACAGAAGCAGAACTGCACCACCCTGAGCAGTTCAGAAAATACTGTCTGGATTCAAAGTGCCATCTATAGTCAAGCAAAAACTACTGATTAGAAAAAAAAAATCCAAACTCTGTATACCTAGAAGTTATGTCTTTTTTTAATAAAGAAGGGTGGATAAACCTTAAGACAAATATCACAACCCCTTAAGAAAGCTTTGGAAATGTTAAGTGGTCTTCTAGACAGGCCACCTTCCGAGGTCTTGGAGGGCGGGCTGCAAAATGAGTATAAGGCTCGTGGCATGCAAGCTGAGTGACAACAAAAATCCAGAGGGCAAAGCTGCAGCTCTGTTGGTGCTCGTAACTCCTGCATGGCTTCTTTGTCTGCTTCTCCCCTGAAAGGAAGGGGAAAAACTGCTAAAGGACTAGAAGTGTGTTCACAGCAAAGGAAGTCAAAGTTGGCAATGCAATAATGATGCTGTTCTGGCAACTTCTGCAACGTGAACGGAGTACTGTTATCCAAGACACAGAGAGCAAGGAGCTGCATCAGAATGACTTAGGTCCTTTACACCCTTCCTTTACTGATGAAGTCCTGTACCATAAGCTTATCTCAAATGAGAAGCTTGGAGACACCACTGTCTACACAGTTCCAAGACCACCTCGATGTCTTCTTCAGTTCAGACAACTAAGGACTGTTGTACTACATGTACAGCAGATCCCTTTTGCAGCAATAATCCATATTTACCTACAACCAGGCAGGCCTTCTCTCCTGTTACAAGCTCTTTTCCACCAGTTACAGGAGGGAACCTTATAACCCCAGGCTATGACTAACCCCCTTCTTCTCTGCCCTCTGAAACTTCCATCATTATTCAAACTTGACAGCAGAGACGGTAGAGTAGCCACTGGCTCTGTATCACTGTAGGCTGGCATTGGCAGTTCCTATAGCCCAGCTGGAAAACAAGTGCAATGGTAATGATGACCATCCAGTTCATTCCTCAGTAGCGCCACTTGCTACTTTTGGAGCTGCAATTACAGCAGTGGAGTGAAATAGGAAAGCTATTGAGCACCAGAGAAGATTGAGCTCACAGAAAAATCACACAAACAACTGTACTTATTTGTGGAAAAAAGGGTGGTATGTGGGAAAGCGAAAGGTTTTTCAGCTACGTGGCTAATGCTTTCAACCACACATGACAAAAATCCCTAAGTGGCAAAAAAACCCAGCAGGCTAACGCAAAGGTATGAGGAAAACTGGCTAGAACCAAATAAAGTATTTTAATACCTCCCCTCACTTAGTTATTAAACTGGATCTTTAACAATGACAAACCATGTACCTCAACTAAAATATGTGCCGGACACTGGTTAACAGCAAGTAGTATTCCTCATATTGATAGGTTTCTGTAAAACAGGGAACGATTAACGGCCCTCAAATGGGCCCTAGAATACCTAAATGATACCACTGACACCAGTCCAGCTCTATGAAGTGGGAGCCCTTTAAAATCCCTTTGGTCTTCTTGGTTGTCTGCCTCCAGAAGTTACTTTAGGTTTCTTGTCATCAAAGTTATGACCTTTGAACCACAGCACGCAGTTAAACAAAAAAAAAAGCTGAGACACACATATTGCCAAAAATTGCTCCCTCACTAAAGATCATCTAAGCTATAAACTCAAATTCCTTTGAGAAACTAATAGAGCTTCTTGTTCGTGACAGCACTTAAAGCTTGTTCTAAATAAATGCAACATACTGAACTCATGATTCCAAAACCAGCATCTCTTGGGTTAGCAAAGGAGCACACACAGGAAAATAACCCATCTTCTAGGCCTGAAGTTTGCTGAACAACTCCTTCCTCTTCAGATTATGCCTCCAGGTATTCTTACTTTGGGATCCACTGTTGGCAGCAAGCTAGCCCCCAGAAAGGTTGAAAAACTGAAATACTGCTTTTGAAATTAAAGGGAGGTATTTTTTGCTGCTAGATGCGTCATTCCCACTTCTACACAAACAATTGCTATAAAAACCACAAGAGAAGAGAAGTTTGGCGTACTCAGTAGCAATGCACCTATTTTAAGAATAACAGTACAAAGCTTATTCACAGCTGACTTAACTTTCAGATAGGTATCTGGGCAGATCTAGAAATCTCATTTCTAGTCTTCCAGATAATTCCTAACATTTAAAAAACAGAATTATTGTTTAGATAATTATCTATAAAAAAAACCCACTTAGCATATACTAACAGAA